GGCTGTTGCTGCGCCCATGGCTTGTCTACCAATGTTGTTGCGCTTACATACCTATGCAGATGCCGTCTTTGTCTCTGTCTATTCTCGGACAGGTCTCTCACCTCAGGTTCCTTGTTTGTACGCCATCGGCAGAATGGCTGGAATTCCCTGTCTTGGTTCTCGACTCTTTTTGCTGCCTTTGAGACGAGGTCAGCCAGCAAGAGACCTCCGAGCATACAATGATCAATCTCCATTCCAACAAACACCAGACCAAGGCCCTCTGCCGCTGCCAGTCCTCAGTCGTCACTGTGAATTGTTCCCCTTGTCATGGCCGTTGCCGGCCGAACTCAGGACCATGTCAAACCCAATCCCTCGGTCCGCTGGCGGCTGGCCCTAGTTCCCCTTCCCTTCCCTGCACTGCACTCACCATGGTCCCCAGTCACATTCTCGCAGATGCCAGTCGTGCCAGTCACGGCGGCCACGGTTCCCCAGTGACATTCACGTTGGGCTCGTCCAATTCTCGCGTCAACTTGGGCAGTGGCACGCTGCCACCACGTCGCAGGGTTGCACATTCGCCTACCGTACCAAAGGTTCTATGTAAACTGCTTCGCCTGCCCATCATCCGCTGATCTCACGCCAAGGGGACCATGAATAGGCTGGTCGCGTATACCTAACTAGTACTCACGCACCCTCTGGTAATACAGACTCTGTAAACGCGTTATCCGTCGTCGCCCGTGAAGCAGTGTCTCGTCTCATACCGCCCTCCCACACCGCGATTCTGTTTCGAGAATGCAATTGGACCCCCAACCCCGAGAAGTGCTTCAAGCGCGCAGCACTCTCGCCAGAGTCACCACCCTATAGACGCATTTTTCTCTCTTAATCAAGGGACCAACGCCCAAGACATTCCGTTGCAAAGCCGCTGACACACACGCCTCGAGAACGGGGAGAAGAAGGACGCCAGCAGCAAGCCACTTACGAACCGACAGAGCCATTGTCTGAGCCATGTCTGCCAACCATGGATGAAATAACCAGCAAACACCAGACTCGTTCGCGAGGCTCGTTGGCTCGCACCCAGCCCTGAAAGCCGCCGCACAGATGCGTCTTCTGCGCTGCGAGGCATTGGACGACATCACACTAACCGGCGTCTAGAGAGACCAACAACCATGGTGAGCTGCGGCCTGCATCAAACCACTGGCCTCATCCGTCTGCTTCCGTCTTGAATATGCACCGATAAAGTCAAATGCCCTTCCCCGCGCATCCTTCTCGCATTGAGTGAGTGCAGCACCTCACCTTAAGCGTGCGTGCGCCCAGGGAAGCCGAAGCATCGCATGTAACATTGCTTTCCAACGTTAAGGAATTGAATACGGAACACGTCGATGAAGTCGTTCTGGCGGACTACAGGTTCCACTACGTGACATCAAGAGCCCCTACAGTGTCAAGGCGCTGTGCTGTGCTATTAGCATTCGTATCAATCTTGGGTCCCCATACACATCACATACGCTCATCCCACGTATCTCTCGGCTAGTATTTTGAGGCAAAGGATAACAAATAGTCCTCGAAGCATTTCACGATTCGGCAGCATGGCCAGCTAGGTAGGTATCGTCTTCCCAGAGCCTCGGTGAACCATGCTCCTTTACGGATACAGGCTCCCAATCGTAGGCTTCTCCACTCTTGCCGAACCAAGGTTCTTTCCCCCCTGTTTGCCGCCGTTCGCCCTCATCCGGCCTAGCGCTCTCGCGCGTCCCCGGTCCCATGAGTACCGGTACGCCCAGAGGACCTTGGAATGTGAGGACTGCAATCACTTTGCAGCTTGGGAACTTTCTGGGCCGCTAGGCGTTGATGGAGTACCGTGCTAGAGTTCTGGAATCGCAAAAAGGTCGCTTGGAGCCTCGGTGACAAGCCAGTGACGGGCTCCGCATCCCTCAGTCGGGCTCCATCATCGTTCCCGGGCCTCGGGTTGCCTCTCCATGAATTCACTAGCCCATCGGCCGGCTGGCTCTGTCCAGGCCAACCTTCCAGACTCTTGTCCCAGACCTTGGTCAGGGGATCAATCGCATGACAAGTTGACGAAGCGCTGACAGGTATAAGCGTTGCTGCCGCCAGCCCTTCTCAGCCAGAGCGTACGGGCCTAAACTCCCGTCTTCTCACACAGGAGATTTCTGATTTTTAAGATAATCGTTTGATTGTCATTGTCATCATTCGTAAGCTACCCTGAAGACCGAAGTTGTTTCATGTCTAGCTCCAATTGGGGCTTTCGGGGGACATCAAACTACTCGCTCTCATGCTCATAATTCGTCCATATCCATCCATATCCTATTAATGCAATTTCTTTCTTCCAAAATGCTTGAAATGATCGTCATCCTCCTCGTCATATCTTTCGACTATGAGATATATACCGGCAAGCGGCTGCCCAAAAGTTCGCTCTTCGATACCTGGACATCTTTCTTGTGGAAATCGTGTAGCATGAGCCAACAAATCATCCGGAAAACGAGAGTGCACCAGATATCCTCGTGGGTGACGTGCTCCTCGCCCAACTCGTGCAGCAGTATTGGTTCTTCATCGTCTATTGTCTCGACGGTCCGGGTACTGAAGTTGGTTTGGTTCCGTTTTTTGAGACCGCCAAAGCCCACAGTAGGCTGCTCGCGCCTATCTGACGATTCTCGAGACACTTCGATGACCTTTCTCCGCACCAAGCGGAAGTAAACCTCCATGAGTTTCTCTTGCTTTAGTTCTGGTGGTGCCGCATCGATATCCTCAAATCGAAGCTGACTTCTCACTCTGTTTTCCATTGTGGCGGCGGTACCTGTAGGTTTCGGTGCCGTCTTTTCCGGCTTCTCGTTGAACCCTCCTAGGACCTCTTGAATATGACTGCGTAACACATCTTGCACCATCTCACGTCGTGCGCTCTCAACTGCGCCTTCAGGGTTGCCCTCAAAAACCGAGGGCTTTGCGGTCATCATTGAGTCGACCCGTGGAGGCGCTGTTGGCCGAGATACCTTCGCCCTTGCCGTCAAAATCTCATCGGTGTCGTCAAGAGCCTCGTGCAGAGCATCCATGAGGGGCAGGCTCAACCAGTTGCCAGAGGCGGCAGTGTGCGTCTTGATCAGCCCGTTAATCTTTCGGATGTTCCTCCGAATGGCTCTGCCGACAAGGCTAGGAGTTGGCTGATCCGACTTGAGTTTATTCATTTGCATGGTGTACGCTTCCAGTAGTTTGGTTAAGGAGAAGTTTTTCGTATCCCATCGATAGTGAGTAGGATTGGGAAGTAAACGGAATGCGCTTTTCTCAATGTGGAGTGTACGTCCAAGCATGCCTACGATCTCGAAAGCAACTGCCAGGAAAATGTTAGCGCTGGGAAACAGTAAGAACTGTACGACCTCAGCTTACCAGGAAACAAATGGCCAACCCTGGCTGTCGATGTGGTGGAAAAGTAGTTGACGGTATTGGTATTACAGCCGATCAAAACCAGCGTTTCAGCGATTTCATGGTTACTGGCGAAGTTAAGGGTCGACAGGTCGCGGGGCTCATCGTTGGGAAACTTCAAACGTCGATTGTCCGACGTCGCCCGGTAAATAGTTGGGAGAAAGCCAAAGCAAAGCTCCTTGGTCTCGTCCACGGGTATGACACGGTTGTTCTCAAATCGACTGCGTCCATAAACCTGGAATGTGAACATGATACCAAGATCGCTGACCTTCTCCCCCGTGATGGTGTAGCCATTGCCTTCTGCACGGTATCTATCGTTGGTCCTATTGAATTCGACCCAGTAAACGCCGAGCATGGCCAGCATTTCGACCATATGGCACCACGTCGTTGTGGCGTATGGCTTCTTGACGTTGGTGGGCATCGTATCCCAGCTCCTACGCTTCTTCTGAATGGCGACCGTTAGAGTATACTTGTCACTGACTTCTTTAAGGACGCTGGCAACGTTTTCCTGGCTCTCGAGCTGGTCAGATCCTTTGGGTGGCTTTTGGTAGACTTTTTCGGTGTATTGTCTTTCTTGCCATTCCCTAGATTCATGTTCCATTTTTTGCAGGGCAGAGAGGAGCGCCACCCACGAAGCTCGCTCATTGTCAGCCGTATGGACTGACTGTTTCGCAAGCTCCTTGTCGGAAACATCCTTCTGATCTTGAAGTTCGGACCGGCTGTCCAGCAAGCTCTTTTCCGAGCCGTCGATGAATATAATGGGCTCGTCTTTGACGGGGCCCTTCTTATTAGTCGGAGGGCATAGGAAAATAACGGGAGCTTCGAAAAGGACCTCGAATCGGAACTCGGTGAACTTGATTTTGCGCTGCTTGGATTCGGACCATTTTCCTATCACCTTGCTGCCACAACTTGAATAGCCAGCGGCGGAAGCGAAATATTGTTGTGCGACCTGCAGGAGGGATGCAAGCAAGGCGACGATGGAGATGACGAGAGCGACAATGGCAACAAACAATTCTTTGTCGTCGTCGTTGATATTGTCGTTAATCTGCTGAAGAGTCTGGTTGAACTGTGCTTCGCTCATGCCCTCCATGGCCATTGTCTCGGACCAATGGGTTCGTTATGGACTTCTGTTTGCCGTTGTTTACCGAGCCTTGCGAATTGGCTATTCGGAGCTGCACAGCTAATGGTGCTCGGGACTTGGTGCTCTCTCGGATGTGGGTGGTATCGAGGTGCTCAAGAGCGGTCTACGTCGGTCATGGGGGCAGATTTGATGAAATTGAAGGAAGCCATGGGTGGCGTGAGGCAACCCGAGTTTGGAGCAGACAAGCAGGCTCAGCTCAGGAGGAGAAACGCGGCAGAAGGGAGCCGTGACGTGTGTCGAGTCGAAGTCGAAAAAGAATGTCGACGAGACAGGACGAGGCTGCACGTTTGGCTAGCGCGCGATGGCGGCACAGCCGCGACCGGGAAACGGAAGAAGAGTGCAGGTGGGATGCCATGGGATGTACGACCAGGCCAGGTCAGTGTCGAGAAGCGAATGCTCGCCCCAGTACTTGGTACTCCATAGCAGCTTCAGCTCGTCTCACCAGCCATCTCCAATCATGGAATCGTTGATTGCCTGCCTGCTTATACCGGCCCGGCCCCATTCCCAACCCAACCCCTCCCCTGTGTCAGCATTTACACCCATGTCTTTCCCAATAGCCCTATCAGTTGCTAGCTCGTGGCTGATACTGCGCTACTTTGCTGTGCAACAGGCAGCGGGATTCTGGGGACGAGGACGGTGGTGGCTCCGCTGTTGTTGATGGAGATGCAGATGTAAGGCAAGGCGATGCGATGTATGTTGACGTGGAAGATGGGCGACGTCGTTGTGGGAGGGGGAAATCATCGACTGATGAAGCTTAGGTGACTATCGTCCATTCTGGGGGCAGTGCAGTGCAGACGTTCAAAAAGAGCGCGAACAGCGTGGCTAAGCTCGCGTCTTGCGCCTTCCTCCATCACTGAGGCTAGGAGCGGGCCGCCGTTCGAACTTCGAACCACTGGTCGGTGCAAATGGAAGGAAAGAGCACCTCGGCCTACACAGTAAGGTAGGAACCCCAGAATGAGAAACGGCAGGCACGAAAAAGACGAGTCGTGCCCTGTTTTCAGTGCTTATTTTCCCTCTTCCCCGCCAATGCCCCCAGTAAGGTACCTTAATCGAATAGACGAGTCAATTCAAAGTCAATGGGAGTTTCCATCTGATCCTCGTAACACCCTGTTAGGTATCCGAACTCATCCTTACCTCAGGTTACGGATACTTGAGTGTCTTATTGTTTAGTGACAAGCCATACACAGTAAAGTACCTTGGGTAGTGGAGGCAGTGGGGCACCATTGAGTGCTTCCGATGTCAATCGACAAGCAGCCAAGTTTCACTGCTGTTGAACGTGGACCGTTCGACTCGCACGCATTCTTGGCCGTTCCTGCGGCCTGCCTATCGGTATTGGTCTTTCTCTGATGATAGTTGGTCGACATTGGTGTGCTACAGCATGCAAAGTCGGTTGGCATGAAAGTATTGCTGGCGGTGAGCTGATGCTGAGATGCCACAGATCCGGGGTCACTGGGGGCCGCAAATGAATGAAGAGGGGTTCTCATAGAAATATCGCCCATGATGAAAAGGTCTCAGACTCTTGTCCTTGTCCTCTAGATATCCTCTTGTTCTTCCTTCTAACATGAGTTCCCGGGACCGCCGTGTGAGTAGGTAACGGAAGCCAAGGTTTAAACAAGTGCCTGCGTTGCCTTAGCCGGCGAAGGATCAGCCAGCGATTGGAGAGATCGCACTTTCTGGTGTTCCTGTAGATTGCGATTGATCCTTGGTGTAAGACTAGTCTATGGATTTAAGACGAGTGATGATCCTTCGAAAATATAAGAAGGAACCCCTCATCTGACAGCAGCCCCCAAGATACTACTCGGAGTAGATAGTTCGAATGAGGTCTCTTACTCGTCAGGACAGTCCAGTCCGTTTTCCAAATCGTCCCATAACGCTTCTTTCAATCAGGTAACCATGGCCTGGCCTTTTTCTCGTTCTTATCCGGAGCGCAAAGCGGTTGACGTCGACGGGAAAACCTTTGACTATGTTATCGTAGGCGGTAGGTGTCGTTGTTGGCGAGGAGGCCAAGTCCCCCCAAGTTGACATTACGCAGGCGGTACAGCAGCATGCGCCCTCGCCTCCCGACTGAGCGAAGACCCAAGCACCAGCGTCCTCGTTGTCTGCAAAGGCAAGGTGAAGGACAATTGGCTTGATCGTATTCCTATCGTTGGGAATGCGAGCGACGGCAAGGGTTCTCAGATCGAGACATTCTGGTCTGAGCCCGACGAGCGATGGACGGGGTGCAAGACTCGGACATTCAATACTCAAGCACTCGGCGGCGCCACCAGAGTCAACGGGCTGATGCTCACGCGCGGCGCGCCGGGTAACTACAACCAATGGGCTGCGCTTGGTAATGATGAATGGAGCTGGGATAAGTGCGAGCCATACTTCAGGAAGATTGAGAACGCTGCTTGCCACCCCGATGCTCCCTACCGCGGTCATGAAGGTATTTGGTGTCATCCAATTCTTCCTCTCAAGATCGAGCTGACTTTAGATAGGGCCGCTCTACCTTCGACAGAATCCCTTGAACTTCCCGATAGACCAATAGTATGTTGTAGTGACCGCATTCCCCAAATCCTTGCTAACTTGTGCCTCGAACAGCATCCAAAAAGCTGCAGGCGACATGAACCTCCCTGTCCAGAATGACGGCAATAACCCAAATGCCCCGGCCATGGGCCTCTTCACGACCGACATCATGATAGACAAGTTTGGCTATCGTCATTCTTCATTGGCAGCTTACCTTCCAAAGTCAACGGCTGATGAGCGAAGGGAGAGACTCACACTCTGCACTGGTGTTGTAGCCACAAAGCTTCAGACGAACGACGATGGGACAGAAGTAACGGGTGTTCACATTTTGGATCATCTTGACAAGAGCCCTGTCAGGCAATGCTTCGTGAAGGCCGAGAGAGAGGTCATCGTTTGTTGTGGAACTCACTTCTCACCGCAGCTTCTGATGTTGAGGTATCATTTCTCTGAGACCCTCCAGCACGTTCGATCGTCGCTGACTCTTCGCAGCGGTATAGGACCAAAGAAACATCTTGAAAAACACAACATCCCACTCGTGCGAGATATGCCGGGAGTTGGTGCTGACCTTCAAGATCACATAACTTTCGGCATCGCCTTCCGCACCCGTCTCATCGATTCATATCTCCGGTTGTTCAGTCCACTTATTGGCATTTGGCACTTTGTCCTCTTTCTCTTCTTCAAGACTGGCTTATTGGCGACTTCTGGAACCAGATTGTGTGCTTGGTTTCACACAAGCACCGTTGACGAGACCACAATGACTGTGAGACACCACGGAAATGGCATCGACGAGAAACACGACAACACGGATGCGCTAAGGCCTGAGAACGTACCTGATATTGAGCTCCTGTTCACTAATGCTTCGTATGACTATGAGAAGGGCAAGGGGTACTGCGCATTCCAGACAACACTAGTGCAGCCATTCTCTAGGGGTAGAATCGAGCTCGCGTCTTCAGATCCTCTGGCGCATCCCAAAGTGTTCCATCACTACATCACAGATCCCCGCGACTGGGCGGCAGCGCGCAAGGCCGCTCGTTTCTCGATGAGCTTTGTAGAGCGCTTCCGTCAGACACAGTACCCCTTCAACGCTACCTGGCATCTCGCCCCCGGAGTCAAGGCCGGTACGGTCGAAGGTGGGTGGCGGGATGTGACGGATGAACAGATTGACGCTTACATCAGGGAGCGTTTGGTCAACATCTACCACGCAACTTCAACGTGCCGCATGGGTACCGTGGTCGATAAAGGTGTGGTCGGCCAGAATTTGAAGGTCCACGGGTTCCGAAACTTGCGCGTTGCTGATGCAAGCGTTTTCCCAAAGGTGACGAGTGCTCACACTGTAGCGCCAACTTATATGGTGGCAGAGCGATGTGCCGACTTTATCAAGCGAGACTGGGCCGAGAGGGCTTGATGCGGTCATTGTTTAAGAGCTTAAGAGCATTCAGGAGACCGAGATATCAAGGTGTGGAACGACATCATATCGCGCAATAATCAATTGGTATTCTTAAACCCGCCGCCCATCGTTCTGGTATCAGCTGCGGCGCCCATCATTCATAACTTGGCTTCTCCCTCACGGCTAACCGCTAGTCACAAAAGGTGCTCATCGAACCAAGCGACAGCTTGGTAAAAGGCTTGCTCCTTTGCATACTTTTGAACCTTCTTGCTCACGTCGCAGCGGACAGCAAAGCCGTGCTCGACGCCAGAGTACAAGTTGATCTGGTATGCCAGGCCGGTCTTTTGCAGAATCTCCTCGGACTTGTGACGCTTTTCGGCGGGGAAGATGCTGTCCGTTTCGGCGGCGGCGATGGAGAAGGGGCCGGTGATGGCGGCGAGCTCATCCTCGTCGACGAAGCTAGGGTGTGCCACGAAGCCGACCTTGATGCCGTCCTTGTAGTGGCGGACAACGTACTGTCAAGTGATCATGTCAGAAACCGACGGTCGTAGCAGCTACAGAACAGGGAGGGTAGGGGAGAAGCATACCTTGGCGCCAAAGCAGTAGCCGAGACCACCGATGTTGGTGAGACCGAGCTCGGTCTGCATGTACTTGAGGGAATCGACAATGATGGGGTCGATGGCCTCCTTGTTATGGGGGTTCTTGCCATCGCTGCCCTCGGCGATCCACTTCATAACGTCAAAGCCAGCAGGCATGGGGACAGAAAGCTGGTCCTTGTTGAAGAGGTCAACGATCAAGGTGGTGTAGCCATTAGCAGCGAACTGATCGGCAAGCAGCTGGGAGTTATTCCAGATGCCAAAGACGTCGGCAACGTAGAGAAGACCGGTGTTCTTGTGTGCCTTGTCGGCAGGAGCCTCGGCGAGGTAGCCCTCATACTTGCCGGCGACGGTGATCTTCTTGCCCTGAGGAGTGCCTCTATGTTGGTCGGAAAGCGATTAGCGAGAACTCTTATTGTGCGAGTAATTGAGAGATTGGCGTATCACATCAGCCGACAGACATGCCATAAGGCTGCTGTTTGGGACTTTGGAACGGGTTTCTTGGTGACAGGTGCAGGCAGGATTCACTCAATCAAGCTTTGGAAGAGTGGGGGGCGGGGTAGCTCTTTACGCAGTGTGTGTCGCTCAATGGGATCTTGGGGTGTCTTACTCGTGCTTGACACCGACGGTGCAGCATTGTCCGGGAGGGTTGGATGCCATGTTGACTGTTGATTTTCTTGAGTTTATAAGTGTAAGTACTTGATGTTTGTAAGAAGACGATATCACAGAGGACGGGAGAGACGGATGGCAGGGTCGGACGAAGAAGAGGGCCCCATCGACCTTAAAGAGTCTGAAGCTCAAGCAGGACGTGGGAGGGGCGTCATTGACCTTGGAGGGGCCCACGGATGTTCAGCGCCGGGGGGGGGGGGGGGTTTGGACAAGTTGGGCCCGTTGACGTGAGGAATTACCAAGCACCCAAGCAACTGGATCTCCAAAACGGAGACTACTCGTACCTCCTTTCCTTACTTTGGGTGGGCCGAGATCCGTTCCGATCCATCAAGAGGAAGATTCAACTGGTAACTCGGACGCTGTGCCCCCCCCCCCCCCTCTCGATGAGACAAAATGCCACCCTGATGAAAACACAAACTCTTTCGGGCACCGGTGCCGGTCTCTCTCAGCCCCCACTTCGCCGAGCTGCGGTGACTCGGTTTTTAGCTGGACATAAGCCGA